TTAAAAAAAATATTTACTTTTAGTTGTAGTTGGACACAATGCCTTTATTTTATTTATTTATTTTTGCGGGGTGCTGAGGATGGAACCCAGGGCCTCGTACGTGCTGGGCGAGCACGCTACTGCTGAGCCACAACCCCAGCACGAGCCCAGGATTTTGAGTCCAGCCTGGTCCACATAGTGAGACTGTCTTTAAACAGATAGTTAATTTAATTAAAAAAAATTTTAAATTTAAAACTGAGCTCATTTCAATCATATGGGACAATTTTTCTGGCATAATGTTGAACATGAAAAGTCAGAGAACCCGAGAAAAGTTGTGCTGCAGCTATATACAATGAATCGAAATGTATTCTGCTGTCATATATACCTAATCAGAATAAATAAATTATAAATAAATAAATAAGATGAAAACAAGAAAAGTCAGAGACAAAGAACACAGACTGCAAGATCCATCTACCTGAAGGTCAAGAAGAGGCAAAACTCACTGATAGTGAGGAAAGTTGAGAAATTGGGACACTTTTCATCCCCCTTCTGGGGGACATTAATGAGAAGGAGGCCCTGAGAGAGCCCTCTAGAGTGCTGGAGTTGTTCTCAGCCTTGAAATTGAAAACAGATGTAAAATCCATCTGGTTGTGTGCTTAAGATTCAAATCTATATAATGTAGCTGCTGTATCTTAAAAAGAAAAAAAAAAAGCAGGGTAGGGGTGTAGCTCAGTGGTAGAGCGCTCGCCTAGCACATGTGAGTTCCTGGACCACAAAAAAGAGAGAGTAAAAAGTAAGATTTCTCCTGGTCAGTTTCCATTCATGGGGTGGTGTCATGCCTCCTGTTGAGGGAGGCTGAGGCACAGTGGCCTTGGAGTTCCTCTGGGGTGACTGCCGTTTACCTTCTCTATGATCTACTCCAGACCTACAGGGTGAGCCTCTGGCAGCCATTCTAGTAAATAAGCCATCTCTGCTCCTCACCACAAAGGACAGGGGAAGGGATGGCATCTGAGCCAAGGTGCCTCCTGGGATATAGATCTGTGTCTGACAGCCCCTCTCAAGCTTGTCTGTTACATGGAAGTGGGGAAGCCCTGGAGGGCAGTTTTCTGTGTGCTGATGAAGAAACTGAATGAGTTGACTGAGAGATGGAAGGACAGATCAGTCAGTCACAGAGAAGTATTGGCAGCCATGCGTTGACTTCCCAATGGATTTTCAGATCTGGGTATACACACACACACACACACTCACTCCCCACAACTGGCTGTACTCTTGCCCCTGAAGGCCTGAAAATCTCCTGTATCTCTATAATGTATTACTTTTGTCCAAGTCACAAAGATAGACATCTCGATTCTGCAAAAGGGCTCACAGTCCTGGATCAGGGTCAGACGAGCCACAACCATGGAGCCAGAGCAGAGAGCAGGCAGGGATCCACTCAAGATTCAAACTCCCCAGAGAGAGGCCAGGGCAGTGGTACGTGCCTACAGTCCCAGCACTGGGAGGCCCAGGCAGGAGAAACTCCTAAGCCCAGCAGGAGAGGGAGACTCAGTCTCAAAACCAAAAACAACAAACAACAACAACAACAACCCCCCTAAACCCAAACAAACAAACAAACAAACCCCAAACCCAAACCAATCCCCCATACACAGACTCAGGATGACAGAGCTTGTATCCTCCAGTCGCCTGCCCAGGATGGGTACTGGGTGGAACTCTGGGGTGAACAGCCCCACCTGGGTCTCATGAAATGGGAAGTAATCCCTTTCTGAACAGAGTGGGTTTCATTACCAAAGAAGGGCGCAAGATTCTGGGCAAACAGCTATAGTAGAGAGCCCCATCCATTCCATTGGTTACCTAGCCCACAAATTCCCTTCCCCAAGAAGATTCAAGTGACAAATTGGGGTTTGTAACAATTGCAGCTTGTAAATTTTTTCTGACTGTCCAGCCTCTGTCTTATTTAGGTGGGGACAGGAAGTGAAGCATGTGTGATTTTAAGATTGCCATTCTCCTTCTAGGCCCCCTCCCCTCCATTCTCCTGACCAAGATTAGATCAAGCATGGTGTGGAGCCTCCGAGGCTTCAAGGCAGCAAGGGAGGGGTCTTTATGATTTCCTGGGTTCCCAGGGGCTGCTATGACGTCGCTTATCTCACCTCATCCTCTGGTCCTGTTGAAGTTATGGGTACTGAGTGTGCTCTCTGTTCTCTTATGACAGTTCATGTCTCTGGCTGGTCACATCCTCTGAACTCTTTTTTCCCTTTATTTTATAGTTTCCATTCCTTGCCAGTATTCCCTTCAAACACATCGCAGTTCTGAGTAGGGCTCGAGCCACTAGGTTGTGAGCCGGTCAGGTGCAGGAGACAGCTTGAGGTCTCACAGTCACGGCTCACCTCTAAGTCCAGGATCTCCGTGTGATGCCTTCTTCTAGTTTGGTCTTGATCATATCTCACTATTGTGCATCTTAGGGGCCAAACTGTAAAGTTATCCACGTCGAAAGAGAATGAAAAAAGAGGAAGATACATAAATGTATACACGTCACAGCGAAGAAGAAAATCCCGGTAGATGCTGGAGTCGCGTCTGCAGGCGCCACCTGGTGGCAGAAGTGGTGCTTACAACTTGGATCCCTTTTGCTCTCAATCA